TCAACAATAAAAACTAGTCAGCAAAGTTATTTTTATTTAAATTCCATGTCAGCGTTGTAGAAGGATTATGTAACACCCCGTGTTACGACCCCTAAACCCAGATTAATTACTTAATTAATTACATTAAGAATAGTTAAAGAAGGATTTAATTTGGTTAGAATTCCTTTAATTAATTAATGTGGCCCATAATGGATCGTGGACCTTTGCCTAAACTAGAGCCTTTAAGTCTGTTAGGATAAAAGAAAGTGGGCCTTTACTACTCGGATTCTAATTAGGATTTCCCTAGATTGATATATAGGGGATTAGAAATCATTTCGAACCCTTCCCACCCATATCACTCGAAATTCCCCAAGGGACCTAGCCGAGAACTTCCCCATCGCCAAGTTTAGGAAAATATCAATTGGAAGGAAATATTGAGGAATGATCCCAGGAGTTTTTATAGATTTAATTAAGGCTAAGAGGTAACCCATGTCTTACAAAACATATTTTCCTTGCTATCTTTTATGTATTGGCTCCTTTGATAATCGTATGGATGAATTTGTGATTATGCCCTGATAGAACTTGTCTTCAGGATTATGGTGTGGATTCTTGTTATTCTTGATGTTGTTGATGATCTTGTGTATTGGTTTGCATGTTCTTGTATTTACTTACAACTAGAGCTTGTCTTTAGGGTTTTACATTGTGGGTTCTTGAGGTTCTTTGTGCTCTTGAACGATTATGTGTTTGGTCTTGAGTCTTGGCATGTTTAGGGCTTGTGTCTACGGTGTAATTGTGTTGTTTCTTGGCTTATTCTTGGTGTTCAAGTCCTTGTTGTTATTGATGTGTGTTGGGATGTGTTTGGACTTGATTTTTGGTAAGTTTGATGAATTCCCGGGTTGGGAAAATAAGCCAAGAACTTTCGTACCAGCGGGTAGTCGGTGGGGGGATGAACCCCCACCTGACCACCCGCCAGGTACGACCACCGTACAGCGGGTGGATGACCACCCGCTGATGTGCCCGCTAGTATAGTGTCGCCCGCCGGCAGGCAGTCCGACGGGAGGTTGTCCTCACGCCGTACCGCCCGCTGGTACGGGCGGGGCGGTGTGTCGTTGGGTCCCGTTTGTTGTTTCCCCGTATCCCATTGTGTCCCACTTGATGTTTGAGAGTCTAGTTTGACGTCATGGATACCGAATTAGGATTCCTGAGTCTTGGGTATTGTATGTGGTTTAAGTTGGTATCCCGTTGGCCTAGGATGAGGTTTGTATGTTCCCTTAGGAGTCTTGTGGTTGTCTGGTTGTCGTTGGAAGTAGAGTTTAAAGTTGTTCCCCGTGGGTTGTGTGTTGGTATTGTGTCAACCGTTGATAAGAGTTTATGTGTTTGTTGTACCCTTCCCTTTGACTATCCCTTGTTGAAGTATTGTTGAGTGTCGTGTACTATTCTGTTGGAAAGGCACATCTGATGGGGCAGCAGTACTTTTGGATTGTGGTGCTGCGGTACCCTTGCAGTACCTTTGGAGTGTGATGCTGCAGTGCCTTTGGTACTATGGGCTGCAGTCCCTTTGGAGTGTGGTGATGCAGTACCTTGGGTATTTTGGGCTGCAGTACTTTTTGAGTGTGGTGCTGCTGTACCTTTGACATGCAGTGAGTTATAGTACTTTTAGAGTGTGGTGCTACAGTTCCTTTGATACATTATGGGCTGCAGCACTTTTGGAGTGCAGTGCTGTAGTACCCTTGGTGTGATATTGTGCATTGATTTGGCGGAACAGATCTGCGAATTGAGTTTGAGTCTTGTTGTTGTCTTGTCTTGTGGTCTTAGGATGCATGCTAGTACCTTTATGTGTTTTTATATTGTCAAGTCTGTTTGTATGTCTCGAGTCTAGATCTTGGTTTTAGAGCTAGAGTTGTTCAGGACTATATATGTATTTCCGAGTCTCAAAATGGTTTTCTTATATCTACCTATATTATACTCAACGCGTGGGAGTGGGTTACTCAACATTATTCGCTGACAGTTGTTACACCATATGTTTTTCAGGTACTGACCAGTAGCTTCGGAGCGCGCTAGACGGATTTGGACTTAGCTTTTGTTAGTTCTAGCCTTAGTTTAGATGGCATGTGCGTCTTGATTGTATTTGAATATCAATTGTGGATGGTGCTAGTTTAGTTAGTCGTGGCCTGTGTATCTAGGTTCTTAAACTTAGATGTGGCATAGCACCCCGATACTTATGTTGTTAGCTTCCGCTCTGTTGGTATTAATGATAGTTTCATCTTATTGCTTAAGTTTTAAATGTTTTAAAAATCAGGGGTGTTACTGTAACACCCCCCCCCCCCCAAAACATGCTATATAGAAAGCCTTAACACATGCAGATATCACAACAAACACTAGCACAACGGAAGATAAAAAGGTAACTGGTTAGACATAAATCCAACACATGGGGTGTTATGCCACGTTTACCAACAACGATAAACGCTACGGCCAAATCTGCATGGTATACAACTATCCCAAAACTCACAAGTGTAAAACTAAACCGGCTCACAGGCTGTAAGACAAACGAAAGGAGCTACACTATCGGGCACTAGACATCGCGCTCGTCTAGACATCACCTGAAAGAACACAAATAAACATGGGACGACGCCCGGTCAGCGAATAATGCTGGTAACCCACCAATACATGTACACAAGTAAGATATAACTTGTAAAGCCATTTTCGAAACGGAATACATAAGTATATAAGTCAAAACCAAGAGTCAAAGTCAACATAAGACTCAACACTCTCAACAAACAACACGGGAACACATCCCGAAACCACGAGAACAACACAACTCACAAAAGAGTCAAGGCATGATCTATCATCACTCAATAGATCGAAACCCGACAAGTACAACGCAAAAGAATAAGACATACACAACCGGCAACACATGCCAAGGCAACACATGCCTTTGTGACTACACACGTCACAAGAGAAGAACTCACCACAATGGTTACAATAGCCCCTCGTGACATCACCGATCACGAGTTGATATGCTTGCCTTATGCCCGGTTCCAACCTTATGGCTACCCCCAACCTTGTTTCTTCTTTCCAACCATTACATCCAGGACACCTGTACTTCTTAGTCCAACCTTTTCCCTTCGGGACCGTCGTCCCCCACCAACGACCACCGACGAGACCACCAATTTCATAGTACACAAGGTACCGTACACACACACGGCGACACACGCCTTCCCAAGAAAATACGTGAACCTGACACACAGGTCACAACTCCATAATCACGTCACGGCCACCACGAGGACCGCTGCAATACCTTGGTGACTAGTGTCTCATACCACTAATCGTGCAATCCAGGTAAAGCCACACACGCATCACACTTCAACAAGAATCAATCAACGGATTGCAACGAAGGTATGAAACATACTCAATCAAGGAATGGGTCACAGCCCACAACAACAACGATGAATAACACAAGTTATCATCAACCAATAGGAAGGTACAAACAACATACATGCTAGCATTTAGACACCAAACTAGCATGCTCATCAAACGGGTAAACCAAACGTAGTTCCGAAGAACACACAAGACTCATCACGGTTCAACGAAACACAATGTTGAACACTTAGCACGATTCAAGACACCAAAGTCCTACATGGATGCCTACCATATAGTTCTAGACATACGAAACATCAAGAAGACACTCAAATAGTTCCACAAAAGAACATCGGGAAGTCAAAAGACCAAATACCGAGTCAAAGGAATCACGGGGAACAAATCTCATCACAACACCGAAGTGTTCCCCGCGGGTGGACCCACGGGTAGGCCCCTACCCGTGGTTCCGCCGGCGGGTACACTACCCACGAGGCCAATGTACCTACGGGTGGGCGGCGGGTAGGGCTCTGCCCGTCGTTCCGCCCGCGGGTACATCCCTATGTCCAAAACAATCCCTTCGGGGATTTTCAACTCCAAGCTCAAATTCAAGTCCAAAACATGCCAAATCTCACCCAATACAACAAAATGACTTGAATCATAGGAAATACCAAGCAATGGCACACAAGAACCCTAAACACAAGCTCTAGATATGCATTTTCACAAGACAAATGCATAAAAACTCACATTTCATAGCAAAACACATGTAGAATCCAAGAAATCACATATAGGTAAGCAAAATAGGTTTTGTAGAGCATGGGTTACCTCTTGTAGACTAAAAGACTTCACTTCACACCTCAACAAGCTCCTCACAAGGCTCACTTTCCAAACCCACTTCAAGAACAAACCAAAAGATCATAAAGATCCTACCTTTAAGAAAAAGACACCTAAGATAGAACAAAAAACACAAGATAGGCTTAGATCTTACCCTCCTAGATGCCCAAATAGGTGAAAGGTTGAATCTTGGAAGCAACTCTTGAAGTCTTGGCAAGGTCTCAACTTAGCTTGGGGGAAAAGCTACTCACCTTTCTAGAGAGAAGGTAGAGCTAAATTTTAGAAAGTGTAATGGGTAGAATGAAGATGTCTACTAGGTTAGGTTACAATACTAACACTAGGTGAAAGGTCAAGAATGCCCTTACCAACATTAGAAAGTGTAAGGAACAAGGGAACTCTCTTCAAAGCTCAAGGTACAACTTGACTTTGGAGTTGACTAGTCAAATACTAGTCCTCAAGTATTAAATTTCAGGATTTTAGGAAATAATTCCTCAATTGAAATAGGATTAATTACTCAATTAATCCATGAATTGAATTTGGATTTTTGGGGTGTCACAGTTACAGTTGGTATCAGAGCCTAAGTTCGGCCCTAGGACAACGCCTTTAGGATATAACTATAAGATATTAAGCTGGAATCTCTAGGTGTTTAAGTACTTAGGATAAGAAGATTTTAGGACGCGCAGTGAGCTTTTGAGTTTATTTATCGCTTTCTGTTGAAAATTTTCCTATGCATACTCTCTGTCTAGCTTCTATTATTATAATTTAAGACATCAGGTATGTGTGCCTATTCCTAACCCACATCTATAACCGATGTAGACCCTGTAGAATCTAGTATGGCACCACTAAGAAACCGTGCAAGGACCCCTGAGACGCTGACTAACGAACAGTTGGCTCAGAACTTGCATCAGTTAACTCAAATCACCCAGGCACTGAGTGACAACCTCCTTCACAACAACACCCGCCCGCCACCGAACGAAAATCACGATGTAGCTCGCCATGTGTCAAACCACCGTCCCCCTACCTTCGCTGGGGAAGAGGATCCTACAATACTCGAAGAATGGATCCGAACGTTCAATAAGATCTCCGAGGTAGTAGGTTGCCCGGGGGAACGTCGAGTCGAGCTGGCAACGTTCTACTTCGGACATGAGGCTGACTTATGGTGGGTCCACGAAGGCCTGGACCTTAGGCAAGAACTAGGCTTCAACTGGGGAACCTTAAAGGCCCGGTTACGGGAACACTTTCACCCCGCGCATGTAAGAGCGGCTATGTATGAAGAGTTCCTTCACCTGAAAGAAGGAATCGCTACGGTAGTCGAGTACCACAAGAGATTTCTGGAACTCACCCGTTTCGCACACGTGTTGGTGCCCACGGAGGCAACTAAGGTAGAGAAGTTCGTGGCTGGACTAAACTTTAAGGCAAAGAAAGCCCTAACCGTCAGCAAACCAAGGACCCTTAACAAAGCATATGCCAGTGCCGCCGACCTCTATTGGGTCCAGTTGCTGCAAAGAGGAGTCCAAGAACAGGCAAAGAGGAGGAATTACGGGAGCGGGGGCCCCAACTTCAAGAAGACGAGGAGTGACCCCAACGTAAAAACAACTCATACGTAAACCCAAGGTCCGCCTAGGGGAACCAGTGAAAGAGAAGGAAAGCATTATCTGTGTAGGAGGTGTGACAAGGACCACATAGGGAACGATTGCCTGGGAAACCCAGTGATGTGCTTTAACTGTGGGCAGAAGGGACACATGGCTTTCGAGTGTAACCAACCCACACGCACAAGACCACCGGTCGGGGTGCAACAAGGGAACACGAACAACCGAGGAAGCTATGGGCCGCCCGGGAAAGTGTTTATCATGACCCGCACCCTAGCCGAAGGCGAGATCGGAGTCGAAGCCAATGACGACATCGAGGACATAGCCATAGGAGACGAGGACCCTACGAATCAGTCAGAAGGGAACCCGGAAGAGGAATTTTGTCTAGGCTAAGAAGGGTGACCCAGATGACCCACCCCTCGTTACCATAAAATGATCACCTTGTATGATTATTTAGAACCCCCGGATTTTAAATAAAATTAATCAGGTAATTCGATCACTTTAATTCCCGTAGTCCACCCTTCAAACAAATTAGAACGACTGTTCGCGCCCCCTATAAATTATGAGAGCCGCGAAATAATACTTAGTAAACCTAAGAATGCAATTGGAGGTTGGAACTCCACCTTAAGGCAAGTAATAGTAAGACTATCAAAACAAAAAGGACTTGCACCAAGAAACCTCAATGTAGCTTGTAAAAATCAAACCTTAGACCTCTCTTTCCCAAACCAATACCTTAACCATGAACCACAATTGTTTCTTAAAACCTAAGAGATACAAAATCCTCTTAACTCCCACCCTAAATCCCTAAAACCCCAAAAAATCCCCAAATAAAAAACCCTTCTTCTTCTCTTTACTCTCTCTCTCTCTCTCTCTCTCTCTCTCTCTCTCTCTCTCTCTCGGCCACACCACAAACCACCGTCGCCCTACCGCTTAAACCGCTGCCAAACCCCCAGCTGCCCATCGTCGACAAACCCCCGCGACCCAGGCCACCTCCAGCGACCCCCTCACACGGCTGCCACCGTCCGCCATAGCCGACCCCGACGCGATCGCCCCAGCCACTGCAACACGGCCCCCATCGACGACTCGGCCGACCGCCCGCTGTCACGAGAAGCCCTGTCGTCCGACCGCGACCGTTGAGCAACCCATCGCCGTAACCACCGGAAAACTCGCCAGAGCCCCCGCTGGAAAAAAAAAAAACTCCAAAGCACAAACCACTTCCTAATTCGTTCAACAATGCCAAGGAGACCCGCCAATGCCCGAATCCCAGAATGGAACAACGCCGATTACACAGCGTTGGGAGGTAAATCACTTGAAACCGATCAATTCTCTAAAGAATTGATTGACATGCTTAAATTTCAAGGCTTGTTGGGAATGTATTTGGAGATAAAATGCAATACGTATCCAGAGTTGGTAAAGGAGTTCTACCACCACTTGGTAGCCACCAAACATGGGGACAAATTGGAGATCACCTCCAAGGTCCGGGGTAAAGAAATAGTATTGACTGAAACCCAACTGGCCAAACTCCTGAAACTGACCACCACGGGCATGTCAGGGTATGACCGAAAGGCTTGGATTGGTGCCCGAAACCTGGGGTACAAAGACTATTTGAGTTATTTGTTGTGAAGAGGAGACAGGTTCACTTCGGCCACAAGGCCAAACAAGAAGTTGTTGACCGTCGAACAGAAACTCTTGGTCATGATTGTGACGGATAGTCTCTTGCCCAACAACAATAAGAGCAAGGATGTGGGAAGCCTTGAGTGCACATTTGCCTACTTCCTTAAGAACAAGGCTAAATTCAACCTACCCGCTCTTGTGCTATAACACATGGAGTTTTGCAAATTCAGCAATCGGCTCAGCTTACCCTATGGGATGATCCTAAGTTGGATCATGGAGAGAAAAGGAATAGACGTGGGCCAGACCAAAGCCAAACCCATATGTGGGATGATCTTCAACGCCCAAAACATCAGACGCAACGACATTTACCATGTCGGAGAGGGACAATACATCACCCTCGATGAGGTATGCCTGAAGCCCGCGACTGAACAAAGATTCCTAATAGAGCGATTGGGAATTTCAAACAAAAAGATGAAGCAAGGTGCCCAAGAGGATGAGGAACAAGAAAAATAGGATGAAGATGACGATGGACCAGACGACCTGGAACCCCCAAGGAGAGAAAGGAGGAACGAAGAAGAGCATGACGAGAGGTCAACCAATGACCGTATCCTAGAACAACTTGTGAGGAAAAATAGGATCATGGAAGAGGGACTCTCGTCATTGATTTTCATGACAAACTCCTTGGACCGAAGGGTGTCCGCAATTGAGACCATACTGGGCGTACGCGGAGCCTCGAGTTCGGCAGCGGGAAATCCAAGTAATCCTATTACAACCCATGACTACCTCTTAAAAATCACTTACGGATTTATGCCTATTGGGAGACAAAGTGTGTTGAGACTCCCATAGGTTACTTGTAAGCTTGCACCATATCTGGGAACCAAGTAAGTAAACTAACTAGCTCGGAGATGAGCGCCGGATAATTCGGCACGATATAGAAACCACGCGATCAAAAACCCACGAGTTGTTAACAGTGCTGTAATCCCTACCACACAACTCATCTCCGAAATTGCTTGTATTATCTAAGCAGGCTCGTCTAAGCTTCGAGGACGAAGCTTCTCGTTAGGGGGCGAGAGTGTAACACCCCGTGTTACGACCCCTAAACCCAGATTAATTACTTAATTAATTACGTTAAGAATAGTTAAAGAAGGATTTAATTTGGTTATAATTCCTTTAATTAATTAATGTGGCCCACAATGGATCGTGGACCTTTGCCTAAACTAGAGCCTTTAAGTCTGTTAAGATTAAAGAAAGTGGGCCTTTACTACTCAGATTCTAATTAGGATTGATCTATATATAGGGGATTAGAAAGAATTTAGAATCCTTCCCACCCATATCACTCGAAATTCCCCAAGGGAATTAGCCGAGAACTTCCCCATCGCCAAGCTTAGGAAAAGATCAATTGGAAGAAAATCTTGAGGAAGGATCCCAGGAGTTGTGAGAGATTTAATTAAGGCTAAGTGGTAACCCGTGTCTTACAAAACCTATTTTCCTTGCTATCTTTTATGTATTGGTTCCTTTGATAATCGTATAGATGAATTTGTGATTATGCCCTGATAGAGCTTGTCTTTAGGATAATGATGTGGATTCTTGTTATTCTTGATGTTCTTGATGATGTTGTGTGTTGGTTTTCATGTTCTTGTATTTACATACGATTAGAGCTTGTCTTTAGGGTTTTACATTGTAGGTTCTTGATGTTCTTTAGGTTCTTGGTGCTCTTGAACGATTATGTGTTCGGTTTTGAGTCTTGGCATGTTTAGAGCTTGTGTCTATGGGGTAATTGTGTTGTTTCTTGGCTTATCCTTGGTGTTCAAGTCCTTGTTATTATTGATGTGTGTTGGGATGTGTTTGGACTTGATTTTGGGTAAGTTTGATGAATTCCCGGGTTTGGAAAATAAACCAAGAACTTTCGTACCAGCGGGTAGTCGGTGGGGGGATGAACCCCCACCTTACCACCCGCCAGGTATGACCACCGTACCAGCGGGTGGATGACCACCCGCTGGTACAGTGCCTCCCGCCGTACCGCCCTCTTGTACAGGCAGGGCGGTTTGTCGTTGGGTCCCATTTGTTGTTTCCCCGTATCCCATTGTGTCCCATTTGATGTTTGAGAGTCTAGTTTGACGTCATCGATACCGAATTAGGATTCGTGAGTCTTGGGTATTGTATGTGGTTTAAGTTGGTATCCCGTTGGCCTAGGATGAAGTTTGTATGTTCCCTTGGGAGTCTTGTGGTTGTCTGGTTGTCGTTTGAAGTAGAGGCTAAAGTTGTTCCCCGTGGGTTGTGTGTTGGTATTGTGTCAACCGTTGATAAGAGTCTATGTATTTATTGTACCCTTCCCTTTGACTATCCCTTGTTGAAGTATTGTTGAGTGTCTTGTACTATTGTGTTGGAAAGGTAGATCTGATGGGGCTGCAGTACTTTTGGCGTGTGGTGCTGTGGTACCCTTGCAGTACCTTTTGAGTGTTAGTTTAGTTAGTCGTGGCCCGGGAACACGCACAAGACCACGGCCACTGTAACACCCCGTGTTACGGCCTTCAATCCCGGATTAATTATTTAATTAATCCCGTTAATAATAATTAAATATGATTTAAATTGGTTAGGTTTCCCTTTAAATAATTAATAAGGTCCACCATGAATCGTGGAACCTTGCCTAAACTAGAGTTTTAAGCCTATTAGGAATAAAGAAAGTAAACCTTTTACTAGTCAGATTCTAATTAGGAATCCTAGACCTATTTCTCTATTAAGAATAAAGGAAGTAGGCCTTTTACTATTCAGATTATGATTAGGATTCTCTTTAATTAATTAATACGGTCCACTATGGACCATGGACCCTCATCCCTAAAACAAGTCATTAGTCCTATAAGGAATAGGATTAGTAAACCCATACCACTTAGACCCTAATTAGGACTCTTAAATATATAAATAAGGTTATAGGAGGCACCTAGATCTTACACCACAATAATCTCTCACCACACAAGAAGTTCTAAGAATTCCCTTAGAAGAAATCAAGAAAGAAGAAAGCTTAAAGAAAGACCCTTCATAGCCAAGGAATTAATTAAGGCTAAGAGGTAACCCATGTCTCAACAAAACCTATTTTCCTTGCTATAATTATCTTCTTTGGCCTCCTCTTTATACTTGTGTCTTGATGAATCGTTTATGATATTGATGATATGTTCTTGATGATTGTGAGATGATTTTATGGGTGATCTTGATGATCTTGATGATGATAAGAGGTTCTTGATGATTATGTGATGTTCTTGATGAATCTTGATGTTTTGGTAATTAAAAGATGAACTATGGTTTCATTGATTTGAATATGATTAGAGCCCTAGGTTAAAATTGGGAATTTCGTATTGTGTTATTCTTGATATAATTGGGTGGGATTTCGCATGTTCGGGTGTTGATTA